GGCAGGGGCCTCCCACTCTTCCAAAAACCCACCTTACCTCAGATCCTATGCCATTGTTACCACTCAGGCTCCAGGCGAGGGGCTACTAGCCCTGGACACTTGGACTGAAGCTAATGAACAACTCCTCCCTTAAATTATACCACCACCAGTTCAGTTCTCCAGTTTTTAGCTCCACAGCACAACTGAGAAAAAGCTAACAAACACGCTTAGAAAGGCTTTACTAAAGGCTAAGAGGTTAACAAAGTGAAAATAACCTCAAAGATAGAATGAATCAGAAAAACTAAAGAACAGTTTAATCCTTTTCAGTCTGTGGAGCACAGTGGGAATCAAGCTGTCCAGCTTCTCCTTCTCCCCACATGGTAGAGACCATTTTTTTTTTTAAGATTTTATTTATTTATCTTTAGAGGGGAAAGAAAGGAGAGAGGGAGAGAACTGGCCTGCAACCCAGGCATGTGCCCTGACTGGGAATCGAACCGTGGTTGCTTGGTTCCCAGGCCCACGCTCAATCCACTGAGCTACACCAGCCAGGGCGGTAGAGACCATTTTTAAGGTCCATCTCCCAGAGCTCCCCTCCTAGGAGACACCTCAAAGTCAGAGTATAAACAAATGAGCACAGCCAGGTGCTCTTCCCACTGCCCCACATTGGAATCTCAAGACCTGCTTGTGATCCAACTGACATGAGTGAGACATGACCTTGTTCTTTACCCTTATAATTCTCAACAGTGCAAACACAAGCACGCTAACAAACAGCAAATACATCACACAGACAACCACCAAACATATAAACACATCTATAGAAAGGACACATTTGCAAAGATAGGAAGGTGTCCAAAAGGAGCTGCTTAATGAAGGTTGAAAATAAAAGAAGGAGAAAATAGTATTAGAAAGGAAACGAGTTCAACTTGGGAAATGTTAGATTTGAGGTGCCAGGAAAACATCAAAGTAGAGATACATACCAAGTAGATAAAGGTTTAATCTGGAGTTTATAAGGAAGGTTGACCCTGGAGAGCGAGAAAATAAAAAAAAGTTGGAGTTGTGGGAATATATAAGAAAAAAATACAGGAATGGGAGAAGTGAAAGGAAGACAGAACAGTTAGCGATGCACCCCGAGTGGGTGGCACAAAAGGAAAGGGGGGAGGACAGGGCCCAAAGGAGAGTGCGGACCACGAAAGCAGTGAGAAGGTGCTCTAAGAAAGAGCAGTGAGAGAGCCAGGCCCAACAAGCTTTAGAGGGAATGAGGGAGGTTATGAGTAAGAAAAACCCATTGGACTTGAAATAGAATATAGCTGCCTTTTGAAAGACAGAATTTAGTGATGGGGGAAGGTCGGGCAGGGGGCTGAGAAGTGATCAGCAGGAGGAGACAGGGCACATGTCATTCATTCCCAAGGGCTGAGTGCAGGGAAGGAGAGAAAGACTGTCAGCACAGTGGCCTCGCCCATCGTCCTCTCAGATGCATGTCTAGCACCAAGACCAGGTCCTGGCATGCAACAGGTACTCAATAAATGTTTGTCCACTGGAGGTTGTTTATTCCATGGATGCTGTTGTTGGATGCAATAAATGAATTAGTACATGAATACAGTGATGATATTTGAGGGATATGAAAGAAAAGTCTTATGGTGGCATATTGTTTTAAGATCTGCTTACAAGTTGAAGTCTGTAAGTGCAGTTTACATCATTGGACTTAGTGCAGGTGGAGAATGAGGTCTTGCTTTGGGGTTGAAGTTAGTCTTTTTGACAGTAGTAATCTGAGGAGAATGAGAATCTTTCAAGCCAGACACTAGGTTAAAAGGGGGCACCCCTTGGTGTCTGTCTGCAGAGTAGAAATTCCCCTCTGTCTTGGCCATGAAAGCACCAAGAGACACTGAGAGGTGCTCCTGAGGGGTTAGTTGTGAAGAAAAGGTTCTCCACACAGTGGGGGATGGCAGCAGTGGGGAGCAAGGAATTAGGAAACCCAAGCTAGTGCCCACAAGGTTGTGAAAACCCTTTGGCGCAAGTGGTCACCTGTCTCAGGCTGGGACTGGTTCCTATGCTCTGTATTAAACCCCTTTCATCTGCCCCACACTTGGAGTATTTGCAAAGTTCCTATCTGGGCAGGAGACTATAAAAAGGTCCAGCCAGCCCTAGGGGTTGGCAGCAGGGGCTGCACTGTGCTGTGAGCATTAACCAGAACAGATAAGTGATGTGAAGAAACTACCAAGGCACCTAGAAGGTTCGAGAGCGTGTTTTATTGGGTAACATGGTATTCACTTACAGAGAATCTAGAAAAAAATTTCTTTCCCTGTTATTTCTCAGTTTGTTTTGATGCTGACAAAGTAGAATTTAGCAGATAAGAGGACTATAGGGAGAAAATTGGCAGAATGCAATGGAAATAAGGTACCGTTGGAATTGATATGATGTAATTAAACAATGCCCTGGAAGAAAGGCTAGGCCATGAGATCTAAATCCTAGCTGGGGAGGTTCATTTTTACAAAGTGGTATAAAAAAATGAGTAAAATGACAGAAAGCCTATGTTAATTATAACATTATTTGCAATAGCCAAGATATGAAAGCAACTTAAATGTCTGTTGATAGATGAATGGATAAAGAAGATGTGGACATATAAATAAAGGAGTATCATGCAGCAATAAAAATGAAATTTACCATTTGTGACAACATGAATGGACCTAGAGGGTATTATACTAAGTGAAATGTCAGACAGAAAAAGACAAGTGCTATATGGCTTCACTTATATGTGAAATCTAAACAAAGTAAATAAACAAACAGAATAAAACAAAAACAGACTCATAGAAAGACATCAGAGGGATGGCTGCCAGAGGAGTGGGATGGGAGATGGGTGGAAAAGGTGAAAAACTGGCAAACAGTCAATGATATTGCGTTATGTTTGCACAGTGACAGATGGTTACTACAATTAGTAGGGTGATCACATTGTGAGGTTATAAAAACATCGAATCACTATATTGTACACAAGACACCAACATACTTAATATAATTAAAGATTACATTATAAACTAATATAATTAACTTTCTAAAAGAAGAATACAAAGAAAGCATATATGGAAGACAATCCATTGAGGCTTAATGAGCATGGTCAGCGAGAGGGCTTACGGAACGCAGAAAGTTCCCATCTCTGCGGCAGAAAGCCCAGTGAACATGAAGGTTCCTGCACTCTTGAGGGGCAGGATCACTGGCACTTCCAGAAATCCTAGTCAGCACAATTTAATACTATCTACAGCAATACTGGGCAACCCGAAACTTTTATTTGCAGTTAGAGATGCAGTCCTGCACTTGTGCCAAGCTCAGCTCACCATACCGGATCTGCCACACACAGAGTGGCAGCAATGGGGTAAATGAACACCTCCTGGCAGTCATCTCGCAATGCTAGAAACAGCTTTCGAGGCAGGTGGCAATCAAAGGAGTCACAATTAACCCACCACGCTCATTTTCCTTCAAATGGAGCCAAGTCGCACTGCTTTATATCAAGATCCTTAAGGTCTTCCAGATGGGAGAAATCTAGTCCAACCTCTCACCTATTGTGACTCTATTTTTAGAAATGCATGGCAGACACCGCCAGTGTGCCCTGGCAGCCAGGTGCTCCTCTCCATTTCTCAGCTTCCTTTGCAGTACACCTGCGGCCGTGTGGCTGAGCTCCAACCAGTCGGATGCTGGTGGACCTGATCTAAGGCACTCCCAGGCCTGGTCCTACCTTGGATGGAGGAGGACCAGCCCACCTGCACCGCATCAGACTCTGCTTGAGTGATAAACAATCTTCCACTATGCCACTCATTGACAATTGTGGATTTGTCCATTTCGTCAGCAAGGATTCATTGATTTCCAAGCCTTCTTTTGATAATCTAGCAACTCAAAGAGTTGCCAAAGTGCCAGAAAAAAAAAGGACGGAAATTATTATATTATTGACCATAGATCCAAAAGATGTTTTAAAAGTAGAAGCAGTCATGAAGCTCATATTTACAATATAGTAGCATCTCACTTATCCAAAGGTTATGATTTGAGAAGCTCATATTTACAATATAGTACCATCTCACTTATCCAAAGGTTATGATTTGAGATATAACTTATAAAGGCTAACCGCCTGCTCCCCAAGCCCCCAACCAAGCACCAGGAAATAAGCCACTAAGGTCTTAAAACAACCCAGACTGAGAGCAAATGAAAGCTTCAGAGCTTCATTCACTAGTTAGCTTCTCGGGCTTTATTTATTTACTCAAGTTTTCTTGGAGTAAATAAATCAGCCTGGGAAATCCGGTTTGTTATTTCACATCAGACAAGAACTAGGAAACTGGATCCCATAAGCAATGATGCCTGACAGGTGCATATCACAACATCCCAAGAGGGAAGGAGGGATCAGAACTCTGAAAGGTGACACACCCAGAAAGCAGGGTGACTGAGCCCTGCTGCTCTTCCTGGCCGTGAAGGGCACCACTGGAGGAGCTTGGCCCACAACAGATAAAAATGACTTGATGTCCTCAATGAGCCATTGCAGGCTTCTAGTAAAGGTAGGACAATGTGTAAGAAGTCTCTGGAAATGATTACTCACACCAGTTTTAGTGCTTAAAGGTATATACTTGCTTGTGTGAAAAACCAATTTGTGAGAGCTATCTTATTTCCCTAGGATGCCACATAGCGATGCCCCAAAACATGAGACATTGCTGTTCCCTTGCTGTTTGCAAATGAGTGGCTCCTCCCAGTCAGGGTGCACATGCCAGGCATGGAGGTTGCCAGGATTCCGTAAGCAAAAGCCAGATCCCAGTAAAACTGTGAAGTAGAAGGAACCTAGACTGATCAGTCAGCCCAAGCCCCTGGCAGAAAGTCTAAGTGGCTAGAGGTGCCCATTCTTCTCACTGTACAGGCGGAACTAGAGCCCATGTTCCCTGCTATCAAGCTGTGATATAACCACCACATCGCAATTCTCCTACCCTGGACACACTCACAATCGCTTCATCCCTTTGTGGGGCCTCCTTTGACCACAGGCCCGACACACTCACCTGCAGAAAGCAGTGTCCCACGGGGGCATGCTCCACAAGGGTGGCGTTGTACACCTGCCTCCAGAAGATGGGCTCGTTGTCATTCACGTCCTCCACAGTAATGCTCACCAGGCAGGAGGCGGACAGCGGGGGCTCCCCGAGGTCTTGGGCCACCACTCTCAGCTCTACAGCCTCCTGGACCTCTCGGTCCAGACTCCGCGTGGTGCTGACCAGGCCGCTTTGGGGATCAATGGTGAAGGATGGTTCACACTCCACCGTGGGCCGCAGAGCCTCTTGGCTGCAGCGAGCAGGAAGGTGGACCAGCTTGTAGCGCAGGATGGCGTGGCTGGTGCCAGCTTCGTCTGCGTCGGAGGCGCTGACCCACACCACCACGGTGCCAGGGGCCGCCGCCTCGGATACTGAGGCCTGGTAATGCTCCTGGCTGAAGACAGGTGGCTGGTCGTTGAGGTCTGCGATCCGGAGCAGCAGCGTCTCCTCCGTGCTCAGCGGTGGAGACCCGGTGTCTGTGGCCACCAGTCGCAAATCATACAGGTCGCGGCTCTCCCTGTCCAGGGGCCCCTCGACACAAAGGAAAAATACCCCTGGGGAGCCTCCAGGCCGCAGGGCGAAGGCTCCCTCCGAGCCCTCCAAGGACAGAGAGATGGTGCTGCCCCCGAAGCTCATACCAAGTTCCCCAGCTTCTTCCTTCTCTGGGCCACCATCCGCGTCAGACACCGAGACTCGAGCCACGTAGTCTCCAGGTCGGGCACCCTCAGAGACTCGCGCTGCGCCCCCCTCGGTGAGGAAGAGCAGGTGGATGGTGGGCCGGTTGTCGTTCACGTCCAGCACAGCTATGGACACTCGCACAGTGGCGACCTCGGGCTCGGCACCTCCATCGCGGGCCTCGACTACCAGCTGGTGCCAGGCCTGAGCCTCACGATCCAGCGGCCTTTGCAGGCGCACCACGCCGCTCAGCTCCTCCACCTCGAAGTGGGCCTCGTCTCCTAATAGCCCGCCACCACCCGCCGCCCCGGGCGCCTGCCGGGCACGGATGCGGTAGCGCACCTGGCCATTGGGCCCCAGGTCTCGGTCCGTGGCACGCACGCGGCAGACCTCCGCACCCGGCTGGGCGTCCTCGCGCACCGCGGCGCGGTACTCGTCCTGCTCAAAGACCGGCGGGTTGTCGTTCTCATCCAGCACGAGCAGCTCCACTCGCAAGTGGCCTGTGCGCCGCGGGCGGCCACCGTCCCACGCTTCTATCTGCAGCTCGTGTGCTGCCGCCTCCTCTCGGTCCAAGCGCCGCAGCAGCACCAGGTCCAGGGGCTCCAGGGGTGAAGAGGACCGCGGCGACCCGGGGGTCCCATAGCGCAACTGGAAGAAGGGTCCTGCGGGGTCCTCGGAGGCGTCGGACGGTTGCACCAGGGTGTAACCCTGTGTGCTGAACAGCCCCGCGTCCGGGTCGTGAGCACCTGGCAGGCGAAAAGCCGTACCTGGGGGGCTAAGCTCGGAGACATCAAGTTGCAAGGAGTCTCGGGGAAAGCGGGGCGAGTGGTCATTGACATCGTTGACACGGATCTCCACCTGCACCACATCGCCCAGCAGGGTGGCGGCCACGAAACTGTAGTGATCCCGCCGCTCGCGGTCCAGTCTCCTCGCCGTACGGATGATGCCGGTGTCCGGATGCACGTGGAAGTCGTCCAGCAGCGGGGAATCCTCTGAATCCTCGGACAGAAAGAAGCCGCCCCCCTCCTGTTGCTGCGCAGCCGGCAACCCGGCGCGAATGTCGCCGACTAGAGTGTCCGGAGGCAGTCCCTCGTCCACGGAAAGGCTGAGGTTGAAAACCTGGGCAGATGAGCCCGAGGCCGCCCACAGCCACGCGTGCACGAAGAACCGGAGCAGGAGGCGCTGCGCCCTGGCGTCGCCACCGCTGCCTGGCCGCTGGCGGGGTGACCCTCGCCTCTCCGCGGAAGCCTCTTGCTGCTGACGCCCTTCACCCATCCTCGGCGCAGAAGGACCCATGGCTTCGCCAGGTCCTTGGAAAGGCTCCCGGGTAACTGCCAGCTTGTGGCGGGATGACAGAAAGATCCAGGAGCCTCTTTAGTGTCTGAGCCAAAGAAGAAAAGACTTTGTTTGGCAAACAAGCCCACAGACACAGGAGTTTCCGAGGTTACATCTGCAACTGGTAAAAAGGTCCTCTGCCTGCAGCTCACGCAGAGGGGGACGCCCTGGATGCCTCTGCCGCTGCGGCCACCTCTTCAGCCCCAGGATTTCTTTAAACGAGTCTCATCTTTTTTTCCTCTCCCGTTCCTTGTCCTCCTCGGCTGGTTGTTTCCCCCTGGTAAAGTCAGGTGCATTATTTCTTTTGCCAAAAAGGATGAAATTATTTAAAGCGCACAAACACAAGGAGAGGGTGGGGGGCTGTGCAGGGGAAGGGGGTGGAGTAAGGGCGGGGAGGCCGAAACTGAGCGCGGCGGGCGGGGCGAGAGAAGGAGGCGAGAACGGGGAGGGGAGGCGGCTGGGTCAGCCGTGCTGTCGGCTGCCGGGGGTGGCTGCTCCCCGCCGCCTCTTGGGGAGCAGAGGACCGCCGGGCGCCCGCTGCGACTCAGCCCGCGCCGCCGCCCCTCCCGTCTCCTCCCAGCTGTGTGACGCGGTGCACGCCAGGGTAAATTCCAACCTGTGAGTCGCTGTTCTGCAGCGGGGCGCGTTCTCGCCTGGGCCAGGGATGGAGGAGAGGGGAGCAGAAGAGAAAGGAACCGGAGATCTGGGCTGCCGGGCAGTTGGAGGCTGCGCAGGCCGGCAGGGGCTGCGCAGACAGGCATCTGCCCTGGATTTGAGGGCAAAGTGACAAAGGTGGGGGGAAGTGGGGGGAGCAATCTCCCCGCACCTCCCTCTATTCCCTCGACTGCCTCTTCCTCCGACCAGACGCTTGGCTCAGGCTGAACACAGAGGGCGGGGGTTATAATCACTTTGGGGAGCCAAACTTTGTGTGCTCTGTTTGGCAAGAGACACTCGTCCCCAGCGGAAGGACAGATAAAGTCAAAAGCCGATGCACAGCTGAGGCCAGGATAAGTGCAAAGTGGGAAAGGTAGAACGCGAAGAAAACCGTCAAGAAGCCCCGAGAAATCTGTGACACACGCGGTGTAAACCACGCTTTGCTATGCCGCGTTACTACTCAGTGACACAAGAGCGTCTGTCTTGTCACTCCCCTCTGCCAACAGGAACGAAGACAATGAACTTGGCTTGCGAACACTTCATACATTCAGCGCCATCATGACACTTTAGGATGCTTTAAGATGCTGATTTATGGGCTGAAAGACGGGGTGGCTGAGGCCCCGCCACCACCCAGGGCTCCACCAGCGCCTCTGAGCAAGGAAGTTGGCAGGCGGAGGCCAAGTAGAGAACACTTTCGAGGTAGCTTGTGGCTGAGCCCAAGAAAAATGTCAAGGAATTGCCATAGTTGCAAGTTTCCTGTCAATTGTTCATAATAATTGGTAGAAATTGATAAATGGCCTCTAATAAAGAATGCTTGATGAAGGACTCTGTGACCTCTTGGGAATGGGTGGCCATATGGAAGCAAATGGTTTCTGCAATTTTGCATTTAGATGGGAGGGGAGAGTTCATTTCCTAGGCCCTGAAGCTCTCCCTCCGGGAGGGCCGGACGCCCTGAAGCAACAGCGAGATGCCCTTTTCATACACAGTGGAGGCATGTGTAACCGCTAATCCACACCACAACATCATCTGCCCCACATAATAATAAAACATTTTATAGCAGACATGTTGCATGTAAATGGAAACAGTAAAATAAATTCAGCTTCCTTTCACCAGTGAAGACTCCTTACCATGAAGGAGAGTTATTGTGTATTTACTCTTTTTTCTTCTGAACCCCTTCAAGTTCACCCTAACTAGTTCCCCTGCCTCCGTGCTTGCCCCGGTATAACTAATTCTCAGCCAAGCATTGGGATTGATGTTTTTAAACTTGCCGAGATACTTCCATTATACCCGGATTATAATTCGGACTCCTTTTAATAGTACCAAACCCTCCCCTACATGGCCCTACTTACCTTTCTGACTTGTCTCCTGCCACCACTCTGCATCCTGCTGTCCTGCCTTCTCTTTGACCTTGGTGGCGGTCGTGGACTGAATGTTCCTGTCTCCTCCAGAATTCCTATGGTGAAATCTTACCCTGCCGTGTGAGGGTGTGATGAGGCAGAGACTTGGGAGGTGACTAGGATTAGATGAGGCCCTGGGATTCGTGCCCTTATGAGAGCCATGAGAGAGCTCACTGTCGCAGTTCAGTCCACAACCAGGAAGACGCCCTCACCCAGGACTGGAGCTTACTGACACCGTGATCTCAGGCTTCCAACCTCCAGAGCTGCGGGAAATGAATTTTTGCTTATACGTCACCCAGTCTATGGTATGTTGTTACAGCAGCTTGAATGGACTAAGACAGCCTGAGTTTTAATTGTTGGAATTTTTCTGTGCCTGAGAGTTAGATATTTCTTCTGTTTTGCCAATATTTGGCTCTTTCTCTTTTAGGTCTCAAATCAAATGCTCCGTGACCTTCCTTGACCACTTGAGCTCTGTAGCTTCTGCACCACGAACCCTGTCATATATTTCATTCCCAGCACCTGTCAGTCCCTTAAATCAGCTTGTTTTATTCATTTGTTTATTAGATTTTGTGATCTCAACCTTCTTTATACACTTTAAGCGCTGTTTTGTCCCAGCACCTACAACGGCACACAGTACGTAATGGGCCTCCACTCACTAACCGTAACTACATGTTGGATGACTGGATGGCTGGTTGGCGGAACTAACTGGCAGGTGAAGGAGAAGTCTGTTAAAAGAGTGGTTTGAAGCCATAACTCAGAATTAATTGGCCGTGAGATCCTTTACTGTGGTGAACTGTATCTTCACAATTTACTCATTTAAATCACTCTCTGGGGCTTCATGAGCTTATTTTTGAACTTCCTCAACTTATTTTGAAAAATGTATTGTTATCAAATATTTACTGGAGTCTAAAAGGAAAAGCAGCTAATGTTTCTGCATTTCACTGACACAGTCTTTGTAAACAGTGGTTTAGTTTAGAAACAAACAGAAAATCAGGAACTTCAAGCACCTACTTTTCCATTAGTTTCTAGGCTTTATATTTTGAACATGTGCAATTCAAGGTCTCCTGCCCATTTCTCAACACCCCTCTAGAATGCTGTCCTGAGTAGCATTCTAGAATAGAGGATTCAGTTTAATTGAGTAAAAGAAATAAGAGCATTTTTCAAACACGAAAAAATAATTTTAGAAAGCATAGGAGCTAACAGCCCACAAAAATGGGCGAGGGTCTGACCCTCTTGAGAGAAGCGCCGTACACAGTGTAACTGGAAAGAATTTGGGCTTTGCAGTGGGCAACCCTGGTTTTGTTCTATAATTTGGGGCAAGTTATTTCAACCTTGTTAAGCCTCAGATTTCTCCTCTCCAAATTGAGGATTATATTATCTAATTATAGGGATGTAGTGAGCCTTAAATGAGACAGTGTATGTGAACTAGCGCACAGAAGGCATTCAGTAAATATTACGTCTCTTGCCTTCTGTTTGTGTGATGAAATATTGTGTGAGGAAATATTTTGAGGGGTGACATGTTTTGGGATTCTCAGTAACATCAAGATCTGACTTCTTAGCCCCTCTGAATGCACGGAGAGGGAAAAAACAAATTTCCCAGTACCATGAACAGACACTACCATAGGCAAAAAGCCCAGAGCAAATCTTCACTTGGTGTGATGTGGTTTAAGTAGTATGGGAAGTCCATTGCCAAAAACATGTTCTCCCAGACTGTAGATAGTCCCTGACTCTGCAATAGTTAATTTAGGTAGTCTAAATAGTTAATACTAAGTGCTCAAAGCAGTGTCCAAAGCATCTCAGATCAGCCTTTTTGGAAAGTAATTATAACTATTACCCCTATCTTACAGATAAAGAAACTGAGGTTCGAGGACATTGCAAGTGAGTTGACCAAAGTCACATAGGTGTAAGGGGTGTAACATCTGTTTGGGTTGAGATTCCCCTATTTGTCCAGTGTCTATGGCCTTTTGAGCTCTTCACTGGTCACTTATCATCTCTGTGATTTTCTCCATAAAGCTGGTTTTTTTGGCTTCTGAATTCTTATTGAAATCAATACAGTGACATAGTAACAGTTTTTGAAAAAGTCTGGAAGAACAACTAAAAGAAGAATTTTGAACAGCATGTTTGTGTAAATGGCAGGACAGCACAGGGGAATAGCTACCAGAATTAGCCCCCATGGATACCGAGGGACAACTGTAGCTCAGTTTTGGGGGAGTCAAAAGTTATACGAGGATTTTCAACTGCTTGGAAATTGGAGCCCCTAAACCTGCGTGTTTAAGAGTCAACTGTATTTTTTTCCTCTGAGTCTTGGGAAGATAAAGAAAAACTTTATACCAACATTTCATCATATGGTTAGAGACAACTATAATAGCTTATTATTAAGTAGATTTAGATATACTATATCAAAACATATTTTTCAAATCTAGTAAAAGCTGGAATGTAAGAGTTAGCATACAATGAAGTTCCCCCAACATTTGAAGGTGACCCAGTAAGTAGGTCTGAGATAGAAGGCCTGCAAAAGCAATTCCTCCCTGATTTTCCCCAAATTCCCCTCTCTCTCCCAAATCACTTATTCGCCTTCCCAGTAAGTGGTAAGGCAGACCAACTTCTCCCCACTGCCTACACCAGACTCCAGATGGCCTGCAAAGGCCAATCAAACCTGCTCAAACACACAGCCTCTAAGATTTGGCTTCTCTGTCTTTGGCGCATGCGCGCACACACACATACACACACATCTTGTTCCCCTATCCTCCGACCCCTCCCCGAAAGCCCTTCTTTAGATGAAATAATCCCACTCCTTATTTCCCCAACCCTTTAATCATTTTGTTTCTCTTCTCTGAACTCTTTCCAATTTCCCTATAGGTTGCTTAAGATGTGGAAACCAAAACCACACACTGTTCTCTAACTGGGCCT